CAAAGTGCATCGGGTGTCCACAAAGGCAGAACAATAGAGGGTCTGGGCCCCAAACCATGAAGGCATGTTTGGCTGCAAGCTTTCCCGGAGTGAGGTGGAAACCATGAATCCAAACCATCTGAGGCAGTCTTGGCCTTTATCCTCGCTGTGCCTTCCGTGCCTTCTTGACACCTTTTCACAGGCTTGATTATGTGCACGCGGCCCTCAAATCTGCTTCACGACAATGGGTGGACATCTGTCGAACCCAGTATTTTCTCAAGAACGACAGCCGACAGCGATTAAGTTTATTAAAGCATATGAAAGCTGCCTCCAGTTCATGGCAATACACAGACCTTTGCAAATCCATCCGAGCACGTCTACTAAGCATGTGAGTTGCAGCTAGCGACTTCCACCTTTCTGGAAATGGTAGTCAACTTCCGAATAGCTGAGATATGCTGCTAGGATTCATGGGGCCCTGGCAAAGACCTGCATCATGTCGACGCTGCAGTATCCCGATGTCAGCAGCTTTGAGAACACCGGGCGCTTCGCATCCAAAACTGGCATCCCGGCGCTTCGCGCCACGACGCAACGGCGTCTGAATTAGACATATGTGGCAAAAAAGGGTCGGCATTGATCAATTGGCCTCCAATGGATGTTGTGTTCGATTGTCAGCAACCAACACAAAATAACACAAACATGAAGAATGATGAAGAATGAACATCTCCAGGCAAATACGTGCTGAGAAGAGACAAGTTCCTGCTAGCATCTGCTAGCTTTGTTCGACTTTGTTCAAGATCTTGGCCACATCAACCCTGACATGTACCCAGGAATACCTGTGTCTACCGCCCCCCTACTAGGCCCATCTTCAGCTCTGACGGTGTCATCTCTTGTGCACCTGGCGCTGTAAAGCGCGGTCCGCTGCCACGTGCGGTCCACTACGGGAAAGTACAGCTTCAGCCGAACCGATTCCAGGTACTTTGTACACACAACACGTTCATAGCACGAGCACTGGCCCAGCTGCCCAGCTGTTGGCGATCGTGGTTAGATATGGTTCGTAAATGTCCGTAACTAGGGAGGAGCGGGCAAAATCTTGACTGTCCTTTCGTAGTCTGGGAATGTCTGGAACAGATTCAACTGACCTCAAACCCATGACCGTTGACAGCACTCCCACCTCTCAAGTCAGCGGAATAGTCCTCAGTGGCCAGTGGTGGAGTGTGTGGCACATATTGCCTTGTTGAAGTTGTTGAGGCATGTCGAGGCGAACCAGTCAAAGGACACCATTTTGGCATGCAAAACATTGAAAACCCATTCCAATGAAGCAGCAATACATGGTAGAATCGATAAAATCGAATGAACACCCATGATGAAAGCCCATTTGTTCTTCCTCACCCAGCAGCAATAGATTGCCAAGAGTTGTGGAGAGTCCGGCTCCGTGGGGCTACCAAACCATGCTCTGCCTGATCATCCCTATGCTGTATGATGCTGTATGCACCACCTCTCCCACCTGCACCACCGTCTTCCCGAAACTCAGCAAAAGTTTGGATTGCCCAGAGTTTGTCACATGAAAAGAAAAAACACCCTTTGAATACACAAACATGGAAACTGCCAAAGGAGGAACATGATGGAAAATGCTTGATTGCTTCGCAAGAAGGGTGGTCTGCTTGGATCAGTTTGGTCTGTTTCGTTGCGACAGAGCCTTCTTTACATCCGGGTGACGTTGGAGCTTTGCCAGCTTCCCATCCGTGTAGTCCGGCAGTGGAGGCGCCACACCTGGGGGGACAAGAAACTTGGGCGGCCACGGGGATGCGGACCTGGTGTTGGCTGGGCCTGGGCCAACTCAAAGCTGGATGGAACATGACAGGAAACTATATTTATTTAAGGGTTCTTGCAACCGGTGGGCTTTGAAAATTTCATGAGATCCTACTCATTGGTTGCAGTTGTGACTTACAAGTACGATGTGGAGCCTGATACCAACCAAAGCTCAAGAGTTCACATGCGTGACATCATATCAGTGGAGTGAAGAAACATACCTTAGGACATTCCACCTTCCAATACAAAGGTAGCTGTGACTCGGTTCTTCTTTTGAAAGAGCTAAGCAGCTATGATGTTCCAGCTCGAAGAACTCATGGCCGTCAATCTCTTGATCCATGTTGAGGTCCTGAGTCGAGAGCCAAAACCCCCAGCAGAAACAAACGAAGAATGATTTCTCCATGGTCGACAGTGGAATTTCAAATTCTCATGTTTTTTCATCGGTCGTGGAAAATCCAATGGCTCTCTCCATCCTCTCCATCCTATGCTAGCAGCGAACCGTTAGTCCGCACAGTGAGAGACACCAAGAAGCAATCGTAGAGGTTTGAAAGTTAAGGGAATTCACACAATATGATACTCCCTGGATCTTCCTGGAAGATAAACATGGAACCTGAAAACCACTGAAATTGCGGAGGAAGCTAGTCTTTCAAAGGTCCATGCCATCAGGTTCCATGTGGATCTTCCGGGCAGTGAACCGCCGCAGTGCACCTATGCCAGTAAACCTGTGTGGGACGAACACGGAAAGCACCCCGCCAAAAGCTGGCAAAAGGAGAAGGATCACGCGGTGTTTGTGGAAAGAACATGGTTTTTACGACATCCAAAAGCATCCCAAACACTCGTAAACCCATTGGACCCTGTTCAAAAATGGAGCCCTGGCGGCCCAATGGAGCCGCCCTGGCCTTTGATGGGTTCTCCAGGTCGTTTGGACTGTTTCGATCCTCCGTGGAATGGGCCAAGCGGCGATGAACATGAAGATCTCTTGCACCGGACCATCGAAATGTGTGGCCTGGACACCTTGTGTGTGCCCCGGTGTGGATGAACTTCCCCTAGTAGCGCCCTTGCTCTTAGTATATAGTAAGGCCAGGAGCCCCTAGTAGCGTTCTTGCTCCTAGTAGCGATGCCCTTGTTCCTAGTAAAAAAATTGGGTTCCTACAAAGAGATGCCTCTTGGTCACTTACCTTTGCCATCTCAAATTTATCTGACTATGCATTATGGACACATACAGATACACACAGTATCATACAGTATTTGTTTGGCCTCGAGGACAAAAGGTGGATGGTAGATCTGTAGCTATAGTATTGGTTCTGGACATGATCTTGCCCAAGCAGCTTCACACCCCTGCTGTGCTTTGCTCAATGCACATTGAACATTATTTCAACAGATGTCAACTGATTTATCAACACAATTGTCAACATTGAGAGACTGCGGACTGTCATAATGTAGACTCTTGATCAATAACCTCCCGATTTGGATGCGCATACTTGCGGACGATCTGGCACGCCCACACCGTCCCTTGTCGCGTATTGCGATGGGTGCGGGTGGGTCTTTCCGAGTGAAAACAACAAGCTACTGAAAAACTAGTAGCAATGGGCATTTCTACTAGGAGTAACCATGCTACTAGTAGCTCTGGCCTTACTACTAGTAAAAAGAAGTAACCACAAACTCCTCCGATTTGGCTTGTAAAACCTCTTCTACCCCACTCGTTCTGACGTCTCGACGAGGCCCCGTGTTGAGGCGTGACACCAAGAACGCCACTTTGGACACACAGGCCCATCAGCAGCACACTGATCTATTGTCGTAAAACTCTTCATATGGGTGGTTTACTAATCAAGAGTCTACATTAATCAGTCTACACAAAGGTATGCCACGGGGTCAGAACTCGAACGGAGCTCCCAAGACGAAGATGAAGCATCGCCAGGTTCAAGCAATGCTAATCTGGCCAAAACCGTGACTCTTTGACTCACTCAAAAAATCTCAAAAAGAGTTCCCACCACTTTGAAAGACCGGCGACATTTCTTGAACTCTTCGAAAGAGATCGCGCCACTCTCGTCGAGGTCAATGGCCTCAAAGGCCTCACTGAGAAGGTCCATGACACATGTCTTCCCCCCCGACCTACTAAGCAATGGTTTCCAACCTACTATAGCGATGGCCGCCAACCTATAGTAGCGATGGCTGACCTAATAGCCATGGCCTCCATGTGTCGGAGGAGGCCTTTGGGGATCCGAAAAGGGGTCGACACATGGTGAGTGACACCTGGAGATCGAAAAACGTCGCCTTTATCTAATGACACATGTCACATGCAGTATCATATTTTGAGGCATTTTTTCCGCTCTTTTTGGTCACGGAAAACATCGGTTTCATTGTCCATTCCATTTGTCGCAGGTTCTGACATGCAGCCTGCTGCAAAGAGCCGTAGAAGACCTCCAAGTCCCGCTTCAGCCTCAAGTGGCCCACGCCAAAACAGAAGCGTTGCTGGCCTCTCGCTGCTTCGATGTCGGAGCAGTTCACCAAAGTGGTTGGTTCTTTGGAAATTTAGACTTTATTGAGTTAAGGAAGAAACTGGTCCAAGAAGAAACATGCAAAAAATGCAGAAATAATCAAGCATATAATATACAATTTTTCAGTTCATATCTACTTGCGGCCCATCTTTGCACAAACACAAAACTATAGGACCGGAAAACCCCACATGTTAACAATTTCACCAGACACAGGAGCGGAAAATTCGTGGTTGGTGGGTGACAGTTGGTTGGTGGCAATTGGTTGGTGGCAGTTTGTTGGTGGCAATTGGTTGGTGGCAAATAGTTGGTGACACTTGGTTGGTGACAATTAGGTTGCAATTGGTTGGTGGCAGTTGGTGGTGGCAATTGGTTGGTGGCAATTGGTGGGTGGCAATTGGTTGGTGACAAATGGTTGATTACAATTGGTTGGTGACAATTGGTGGGTGTCAGTTGGTTGGTGACAATCGGTTGATGGAAATTTGCTGGTGGCAATTGGTTGGTGGAAATTTGTTGGTGGCAATTGGTTGGTGGCAATTGGTTGGTGGCAATTGGTTGGTGGAAATTCGTTGGTGGCAATTGGTTGGTGGCAATCGGTTGGTGGCAAGGGAGGCGGGAGGAGGAGGAAGGAGGAGCGGATACCACACAAACAAACAAAAACCCCACACATCAATGTGGGGAACAAAGTTATGTGCGGTCCAGGCCAGGAGTCTGGACTCATTCAACTACCAACAACGTGGCAGTGGTCCAGCTGGTCAAAGTTTCGAGCTTCCTCCAACCGCCCCGCACCGGTCGCCCCACCAAATCTCTGCCAAGGAGCTCGTAAATCGACTGGTGCAGCTCGCGCCACACTCTCTCCAGTGTTTCGAACTCCTTTCGTGAGATATCGCCATCATGAGAGGTATCCAAGTATCGGAAGACACCTCACATGGATAGGGCACAGAATTTGAAAAATCTCAGTGAAGGACAAGGGATCCCTTCCTTCCCTCCTCCGTTCGAACGTGAGGATCCAAATCCTTTATGCTGGAGGGCAACGCAATTCTACACAGATTGCCTTTTGTCATAGCGGAGATATTTGCCATTCTCCTGTGCTTAGACACACTCAACTTTAGCCCGCAGACATGAGTGTAGCAGAGACCTGCCTCTATGAAGGTCTGCCTCACCTCGCCCACCAACACCACCGACCTATTGACTCAGAAACAAACAAACAAACAATGAAAAAATAGACAAGAATGATTTGAGTAAAGCCTTAGAAAGGTAGAACAAAAGCTAGTAGAAACCAGTATGCAGGTGCTAGGATTAGTTGTAAGTTGAGAGGCAAGGAGCAATTGACAAAGTACCAGCACCAAGAGGCTGTGCAACCGGAGCGACCAACGAGCATGCTTCCAGCAGCACACCAGCAGCAGGAGCACCGCAAATAGCAAACCAGCAAATACCAGCAGCACATCAACGGCAGACCAACAGCTGACCAGCAGCAACAAGGAAGCTATCTTCCACAAATACCTTGCTGATTCAAACCAATGCCCCTACCACTGCATTTTCTGCATCACCAACTCACCGAAAATGATCAAAACAAAAAGGTTTCCAGTGTTAAGTTTCCACTAATAGTGAGGCAAATTCGACCCGGTCTCATGCCATAAAAACCCCTAGTGCAACTGTTTCTGTTTGGGGCGAACCGAAAAGGGGGGAAGGCCACTCTGCTTCTGCTTCGCCACTGGAGAGCGTCTCGAGCTGTGTGGCATCCTCCTCATCCTCGCTCCGAGGGCTGGGCATCAAGCGTGCCGAGCTCGTAGTACCTCGGGGTCGCGGTCGAGCGAGGAGGCGAGGAGCCGGCCTGGGCTGAAAACGGAACGTCAACGGAATTGGATATCTTTAGCTCCTAATGATTGGAGAACCTGGGTTCTAACAAACATTGGCCCTTCATTCTAGCATACTGACTTGAGCAGAAACTAGTTCATTTCACAAATCGCACTCGTTTGAAGCCGCAATGTCCGGCCCTCTTCCCAACGACGGTATCACCATTTCGATCGACATCGATCGACTTCAAATATGCCAGTCAGGATGAGGCGCATCAAGGTGGGTTTGCGGTTACTTCGTGGGATGTTCTCCCATGGTCAAGAGCTGCTGGCCAAAAAAAACACCACCAAATCACGCCAGGTCACTAGTGGATTGCGGCAGAAATGCAGGCACTCTCCGCCTGAGGCACGAAAACCAGGACGTCGAGATGATCGGTCCGAGCACAAAGCTACGCAAAGGAACGATCAGGCCATGCTCCAAAGGAACGAAAAAGGACACAGATCGGCTGCGGTCCAGCTCGACAGGGAAAGAATGGCCAGTGCCATTGGGTGTGGCTGATACGACAGTTGTTCACATTTTAATCCGCTCCTACTTTGAACCCCATTTTGGATGACAGAACTGATCAAGATATTTGCAAAAAAAGGTGCTATCTATATCTATCTATATCTATCTCTATCTCTATCTCTATCTCTATCTATCTATCTATCATAGCCATAACATGTTCCTTGTAGTATTTTTTCCAATCCAATGACCACCTCCATATTTCTGGTCTCCATATCTGACCACCTCCATCTCCCCCCCAGTCTCGCCCAGTCCACCTTTTAGGCTTGCAACATCCAGCTTTCGTGAGGCCATCCACAAACTCCTCGGAAATCGCCCCAGACATGGGGCCTGGAACCTTTTGGCCTTTCCATCGCCGATGTTTTTCGGGGGGGAAGGCGGCCCTCAAGAGGAGAAACATCAGGGTGCACAGCCCAACATATTGAAAGAACATGTGGTTTTGTGGTTTGCACCGCCCTACATGTTACATGGTGGTCATGGTGCACCTGTCTCTTCAACAAATGCTGAAAATAGCCCCAAGAAAAAGAACACAGCTTGCGTTCAGCACCCGTTTCGCCCTCTGACGCCTGCTTCACGGTACATAACACCACAAGGATTCCACACATTGTAACATAGATATTGGGTATATCCCATTCCGTGTAGGAGTGGATGACGATGGTTTGTAGAGGCCGTTCTCTAAAATAGTGATACAGTAATTGTTGACCGACTGCCACAGGTTCTGAGACACTCCAAACATATATAATTGAATACAATATCTAGAATCTATATATTGATAACAACCCCAAGACTCAAGACCACCCCTGCATACACAATGTGCTCTTATTTAGAGTGTGTTCCCAAATAATTACTTTGTGTTGACTCTTTATTTGTGCATTTGCTGTGGTTGGAGTGCTTCCAATGCCTTGGAGTATACTCCATACAATTATTCGGTACCTTCCCTTCTCTCTGTGCAAGGATTCCGCAGCGTTTGGAAACATTGTGACTTCGCAAGCCTTTCGTTTGCCGCATGGTTGTTGAGACCGCGTTTGGGACCAACAACGGCCGACCGTGTCTTTTTGGCGCTTCAATCCACCGGATCGAGCCGACGCCTTGTGGTTCAGCATGTTGTCCGGCTGCGTGTTGAGAGCGGAGAAGGCCGCATCGGTGCTTTTCCAGGTTCGGATCATGAACGTTACCACCTGGCCGTGACCAGTGGACCACTGGTCACAGACCAGCAAGAAGGCCTGTGCTTCCCAAACTATATGGTGACTAGTCGGCCATGTGTTCTGAACTGCAATGTTTTGTCTTTTGATATCCTTTAGTCAAGTCCTTAGACTTGCGTTCATCCACATCTGGACCCTGTCGATGACCGCCTTCAGCACCTCGACGGGGACGTCTTCCAAGCAAGACCTCGTGGTGGCGGATCCACAGATGGAGTTTCCAGATTCAACTAAGAGAACATTCCATGAGGGACATCTGGAAAAGACCACTTTTCGACGCAGGAAAACATCGGACGCAAGGAACCGCAGGAACTGTATGTTCAGTGTATGACATCTCAAACCTACGCAGAAAGAGGCTTGAAAAACCGATCTATAATATACTACTTGACCCCCCCCAAATGCTCACAACGGGACAAATCTGGACAAAGCCCAGCTGATACCACCTCATGACACACTCACCATCACTCACCCTTCTCCGCTTGATCCCACCATAAACTGAAAGTAAACAGCAAAAACCGACTCCTCCGCTTGGTGCATTTTCAGGACTCCTCCGCTCCCGCTCCGCCCATCCTTTGAGTGCTGTTTCATCGCGGCGCCAGAAGTCGAAGGTCGTGTCCGGCAAGTTGGTCCAGCCACCCACCGAGGCAGCCAAGCGGCGCCGTGCCTCCCGGCGCAGCTAACGGTGTTGAAACGGCTCGGTGAACTAAAGGTTCATCAAAGGATGTGTTTCGTGGATGGGAGGTAGGGGCCCACCACGTGGTCTGTTGTTTCATCATGATTGACATATTGTGATGTTTGTTGAGTTCAATCAGAAGTGTTGCTTTGGAGATTCACTCTGTGAGTTGGAACACCTGAGGTCATGTATGTAGGTATTGAATGGTATCAAGTGATGGTCACCCCAGTGATGGTACTACTATGCCATATACATCATGATAATGTATAATGTATTATTACTGATAATATATATATATAATATACTGTAATTATATCAATCAGAATCATAATCATATCTGTCACAGATTTGCATCCATCGATCGCCAACCATGGCACCAAACTTGGGCTTCTTTGGGTCGGAATAGGCAAACCACAACAAACCACGGCAAATCCCGCAGACCCGAACTGAATTTAAAGACCCGAACTGGAGCAGGGTGTCAAAGTCTGGCCTTCAAATTCTGCCGGTCCACCGAGCAAGTGTAGGTGCCTGCTTACCGAAGTGGCTTCCGGCTCAAACTGCAGGTTTCCTCCAAGTTCCTACAAAAAGGTCAGAATGTCTTACATCGCTATTAGGTTGGAGGCCATCGCTCTTAGGGTGGAGGCCATTGCTTTTAGGGGGAGGAGGCTGCTAGGGGGAGGTGATCGCTATTAGGTTGGAGGCCATTTTGGGCTTCACAGATTTTGGAGCCAAAGTTTTGTCTCCAGGGTCGAGCAGGATCGAGGCTGAAACAAATGCAGAATCTGAAGACGCCAGCAGAAAAAAAATAATGAAAAGACTTATTGTTCCGCGTGGCCTCTTTTGAGTATTCGTCTCTGTTGAACTGTTGAATTCTTTTCTCTGGGAGAGATGTCCTTTTCCACAATTAAAGAATTGGAGCTGTATGTTGCACTCGGTGAAGAAAGTTCAATGTTTTCTGTGCCTTTCCAAATTCCATTTCAAAACGCTTCAGTGTCTCAGCTAAGAACCTGAGGGCCACCGGTCCTCGCCTCGTTCTTTCCAAAGTTCCCACTCAAACCACTTTGGGGTAGAAAATATATAACATGAAATCCAAGAAAGCCAACCAAGCAGAATCGTAGAACATGACACGTGATGGTCATTGACCTTGCTCACTACCCTGCACAGGCTCTGATCCAGGTTGACCATTGCCGACTTGTCATCTTTCGTGGTGTTTCAATCCCACAGCTTGGTCAAAAGCTTATCTTTTGCCCCAATCAGTTGAGCAACCGTTGCTTGTGTTCCTTCCAGACCAAGGACCGAGGGCACCGTCGAGGCTGCCAAGGCACATTGCACAAGGCCCTGAGTAGGGATGTTCTCCAGCTCGGCCCAGGAATTTGGAATGCCTCTTGTGATCAGTGGGGAAAATCATTGGGTGTCTGCAAGTGATGATATACTCCGATATTTTTCACAAGCATGTGAGACAATTGCAGTATGGCTGCAAAACAGGATGCTATCCAGACCGCCGAGTACACACATACACACAACCAAGGTGCCTGCCACAAAGGGCTGGAAAGCCGGTGCGTTTGGGTTGGCATCTTTGTCCATCATCGGATTTTTGATGTTCCTGGGCTTTGAGCAAAAGAAGCACTGATTTCCACCATCTGTGCAATCCGAATCACGAAACTGGGCGCGCGCGTACAACCCGGACGATGACATGATCCATTATTCCATGCATGATAATTTGTCTGCCATGATGCTGACATCCCAAATAAAGATACGCATCACTGAACCGTGCTTTGTCAATTTGGTGCAAACCACCATGTCAAATGAGCGGCACACTATCCTCCCAATTGGCCAAACGCACCAGGTTGTGAAAGCAACGGCGCTGTTCCCACTGCTCCAAATCAATGATGTGGAATGACATTTCCTTAGGTGAGAAGGCAACACATGAATCTCTGCGGTGTGTGCAGATTTTGAAACAAGTGTCAGCAAATGTCCGGTCCAAACCCACGCATTTGGCACACGTCATTCGAGCCTGCTCAAGTTAGCACATTCGCAAAGGCGCCAACCTACTTAGCTACTAGCCACTTTTGTGTATATATGTGTGTGTGTCACCCCCTGTGCCAAAGGGTTCGCCACCACATTCACCTTCACCACTGTCTCACAAGCAGGGGCGTCAGGCTCGACACATCTACCTGACGCAACGAAGCTATGATGTGTCGAGGGAAGCTCTCGCTCTCATGTACCTGCGGAGTTTTCCACAAGCTGTCCACCCTACTTTTCCACGGTTTGATTCATGGTTCTTTCACGCTTCTTACCCCATAAACGGGTTTTCCCACAGCTGCCTTTCAGCTGCCGTCCGCCGCTCGTCCGCTGCTGTCGCGAGTCTGCAGATGCGCACAAACTTTTTGTTGAAAACACCTTCAATTTGATCGGACTCTTCACCTTGCCGTTGAGCCACTCCTTTTCTCGGGAAATTGAGTTAACTGAAAACCAATGTCAGAGTGTGTTTCGCTCAGCCGTCCCACTCGGGTGCTGAGTGTGATCCCCGTCACTGGGGCGCTGTTTCATTGGGTAATCATTAACGGAACTCACTACCGCTCACCGGAATTTCACTGGAATTCACCTCCACTTCCACCGAATTAACTGCCACAACGGCCGCCGGGCCTAAACACGGGACCTGCCATTTCGCAGAGTTTGCACATTTTTCTGCATGGTCTTGCATGTTTTTGCGAATGCTTTCCTCAAGCAGAGCGATTTAAGCGCTGAAGCTGCTGCCACTGAGCTAGTGAAGCTCTATGTCCAAAAAGGACACAACCCAATTGCTTGCAGCCGGTTTCTGAAAGGAAAAAGCGCCGATTACGGCGATCTGTGTGTGTCACCCCCTGTGCCAAAGGGTTCGCCACCACATTCACCT